CACCTCTGGCCTGTCCCTCTGCTCTGTATGCATAAATAAGTAAATCTTTTAAAAAAAGTTACATACTTAACATTTCACAAATTGAAAGCTTAGAGTTTTCAATGATTTAGTCATCTTCCTTTTTACCCTTTTCCTTATTAAGCCCAACCACTAAAGCTCACTGTAGAACTGAAACTTAAGTTTTATAATGTCACTTATCTGCCAGATAAGACCAATGCCCCTTGCTTCTGAGGATGGCAGCCACATGGTTACCCATGCTCCCTCTGGATGTGACTTACTCTTTAATCTGCTTCTCATACATTTGTTTCTGTTCTTCTATTTCTTTCCGCAGCTGCTGAACCTCTCTCTGCAAAGATTCAAATTCTTCTTCTCCAGAGTCCTTTCTTCCAGATCTAGTTTCAGAGTTTGGGCTGCCAAGGGTGTGCCTCTTGCAGTCACAGGCAAGGGGGGAGCATGCCAAGGCATCATCCCCAGGGGATCCAGGCAGGCCAGGGACATTATCATAGGTGGAAGTCCGTTGAAAGTCAGACAGGTGAGGCACACCTTGGGACAGTGTTCTTCTGTGCCCTTCCCCTGCCTTCACCTCTGAAGGTGACCAGAATTCACTTTTGAAGATTTCTACTTTGCTGCTGTTGCCACTTTGAAGAGCAGATGTCAAGAAACATTTCCGGTTAGGGAGTGTCTGAGTCCTTTTTCGAGAATGCAACTTCCAATCTCCTGGCTTTTCCCTGCTCTCTTCCAGAAACTCATCGCTGTGCTGTTGTCCAGTGGGGCTCATTACATCTGAGCTGCTGGTCTAGGAAAAATGGTCATGGATATTACTTGGGTTTTTCCTACTTGTCAAGCTCCCAAAATAATGACCAGGGTCTTCCCTGCATTGCTGGTATAAGTACAAAATGGCACAATTTATATTTAACTACTTTAATCAAGATCACACATTAACAACCTCTTTATCTTCTGACTCAGCAATCCTGTTTCTGGGAATGTATTTTGCACTAAATAACCTCAGAAAATTTGCATAAAGAAAAACAGGAAGGAAAAGGCATAAAATATGAGTGATAATTTCTGTCCTCCGGTTATGGTGAGAACCCCAAAAGGAATCTATTTAAGTAGATAGGGTTAGCCTGTAGCTATCATTGCTATTTCAGTAAACAGCAGAAACCTGTCAAGTAAACATAATAATTGTTACTTTCAAGGGCTACTGGGGTGATCTCACTATGTGTAGCCTCAGCATTTCTAAGTACTAATTCAATTTAAAGATACAGGAGGATGCTTTGTATCTAAACAGATATCACCTAAGAAAAATTAAAGCATGACCCCTATCTACCATTTTAAAAATTCTTTTAAATCATTGCTAGGATTAACAGTATTATAGGAAACTTACATTTCCTGAACAACCAGAAATTGTTAATTAATTTCTTGGTCACACAAAGAATTAACTTGTTAAATAAATTGTATGTATATAATTTCTAAATTGTCTCTATAAATATAAAAAATATTGACCTTTGTAAATTATCACTCTCAAATTGTCTACATTTCAGAATCTGCAGTTCTTCAACTTTGGGGACGTGCGTCCCGACCCTTTGGCATAAATGAGGGACTGACATCGCTAAGACAACTTATCATGGAATGAGAAATGTTACACGAACACATCACATGCTATGAGAAAGGAATCACGTTTCATGAGTTAGCAGGAAACCAGTTCTCTCTGGACTTTCACCCGGAATTTTCAACAGCTCTCACTAAAAAATGTATGATGTGATATGTTTTTCTTTCCCTCGTGAACCCTAGACTGTTTGAACGGGTTTTCTCTTTTCGAGTGGGTGTCAGTGAGAACTCCCATTGCTCCAAAAACCACTTACCCCCACCTCCAAGATGCCAACAGACACTAGGTCTTGAAAGATGTCAGACTTCCTAGATGTATTCAAATGAGCCTATACCAGCTGTGCCCACTACTGCGGCATCATCTAAAACTCCCCTAACTACCATGCCAGAGTGGCTCTTACATGGAATTACCTGCACTCAGGAAGAATAAAATAGGAGGACATTTTTATGCACCTTACCGTGCTACTGAAGCTCTCTGTCCTAGAAATTGGGGTGTCTTCAGTGGCATCCCAGCCCACAGAACTTCGAGCCACTGGAGGTTTCTTGGGGTCATTTTTCTGAGCCGGGGGTGACATGGGTGTATCCTTAGACTTGGGAAAGAGGATTTCATGGTCTCTGATCATCATGGTCATTATTCTTTGGATTTGAGGAGTCCCTGAAAGAAAGGAGCTTGATAGTTGTGGACCATAGCCCAGGACTAAAGTGGTCCCCAAGGTTTCTACCACGAGATGTCTCCTAACTGGGCTCTAAAACCACAAGATCCCAAAGGACATCATTTTGCTTCTTATGAGACCTTTCTTAATTGTTTGGAGTAAAAGATAGAGGTAAAAGGGATGGGCTAGAAGAAGAACATACAGAGGGTGAAAGAGGGTTATTCTATCCTACAATTCTCTGGGCAATCTTCATTGAGAAACAAGCAACTCGCAGGAGAGAAAATGAGACATCTTTCCCTCCTGATGTGGGTCTCAATATGACATATGATTCTTATCCCCCATGTAGCACTACGTTCCAGGCATACTGCCTCTCCAAATCTACAGAAGATCTATGCCAGAACTTCTGCTCACTGGCCCAGCCTGATAAGTCTTTTCAACACAAACTTCCAAGCAATCGTTTTTTTGTAATTGACTTATAAAATGAAACTTGTTTGCACTCTTAGTCTCAAGATATTTAAAAGTAATAAAAGACTAAGAAATACAGGCTGACTGCTTTTGTGCTGTCCCTCTGTACTGTGGCCATTGGGTACATCTCTAATCTCTCTTTTCTTTTGTAATATAAAAACAAAAAAAAGAAGTCATCATTCCTGTTCTTCACAGAGCTATTTTAAAAATAAGACAAAATCAGCTGAAAACACTTGGCAGGGGTTAGCTGTCATTATCGCTGCTTCCCCTGCAGCTGCCTTCATCCCGGGGCAGTCATACCTCTCATGATCATCCCGGGGCAGTCCTACCTCTCATGATCACAGCAGGATCTTCGACCTTTGACCTGATGAGGTTCACACCGATCACAGTAGCCAGGTTGTCCACACTCATCTTGTTAACAGCACAGTTCAGCTGAATTTCATGTAGAAACCTGTGGGCAGCCAGGAAAACCCGAATGGGAACTAGGAAGTGACCAGAAGGAAGCACTTTCCAGGTATGAATGAGGTCAAGGATGAATCCCAGCTCTTTACTTCAGTCTCAGAAATGGGACCCGCCTGTTCCACCCCACCAAAGTTTTGTTCCGCCCCACCAGAGTTTAGCTTTTCCTCAGCAAAGTGAAGTCCAAGCAAAAAGAGAAACCAGGAGAGGCTTGCACAGCTTCTGGGGGTGGAGGTGACATCAGCAGGATGCTGGTGCAGTTCAGGAAGCTAAGGGGAGACTAGAAGGACTAGCAAGCGCAAATGCCTGCCACTCCTCCTGACTTCAAGGCTCACTGCCCAGGCTCCCCGCACCCACCCCGCCCAATATCCACAGAGGAAACCTTTAGCATGAGAAAGTCCCAGAGGGAATTCATGCTGCTTCCTTGTTCATCCTCTGATTACAGCACAAAGCATTTGAATTCTCAGCAGATTTTCAATAATTAACAGTGAATTTTTACTATAATTTCAATGAAATTATATGAAAAATTATATGAATCTCATATTTACTATTATAAAAAGTTGAGCAGATAAGCAAAGGAATTTCCAAGAACTCTCTCCAAAAACCTTTTGTAATGAATGGTTGATAAAACATAAAATTTCAAATACAGAGAAATTGTCAAATAGATGGCATGTTCAAATGAGAACTATTATTAATTATTACAATCACTTAGAATCCTATTGTGTGACATATGAAGCTATTCACAATAGAACAAAGTCTAGACAAGCAAGCACATGTATGTATACACATATATACATCCATATGTATGTATATACATATATAGCAATTATAAATATACATAAAATTTCACTTTGGTGTAAAAGAACTCTTGACTTATATTTTCATGAATGTATATAAACATCTACCAGAGAGATTAAAAACCTCCATAAGGATGAACCAGATGAAACCCAAGGATTAATAGTGATTTTTGCTGGGTGAGGGGATTATGACTACTTTTAAAATCTTACTCACAGTGCTGAATTTTCTGACCTATAAATTTTACAGTCAGGGAACTACAACAAACTTATTAAACATAAAGATAAATTTCAGCTTTCTCTGACAAGGTTCAATATCTAAAACAGCTCTCTCTCACAAGGCTTCATTAAAACATTTACAGTGTGATTACTCCCCTCTCCCCCTCCCAGCTGTGAATGTCATGGAACATTTGGAAGGGTTTCCTTTTGCAGTGGGCATCAGGGAGGGCTCCTTTGCTCAGTCATTTGAAGACTGCCACATGCCATGACATGATGCTACAGCAGTGTCACAGAGTAGGTGCTCAGAAAGGGAAAGAAAAATAGGTGTGTGGAATGACTATCTTTGGAGCACTAAGTTATGGTCTAAGAGTCAAGAAGGTGGAAGATGATTCTAGAATCACTAGGGGATAATTCTGGATTCTGTTGGCCTGTGCAGGACTCTGGGTAGTACTGTGGTAGACTGGTGAAGGAAATGTTCATTTTGCATGCTGATTAGAACTTCATGGGATCCTTTATATTATACTATACAATGGAATACTACTCAACCATTAAAAAAAAAAAGGTGAGTGGTCTCCCTGGTGATGCAAAAGGCAAAAGTGCAGCACTATGAAGCTATCGACAGCCACGGCAGCACAAGTTTGATCCCTGACCAGTGAGGTGATCCACATAGTATGGAGACCTCTCCTTTCTCGCCTACTGCTCCCCTCAGCAGTGTGTTTCAGTTGATCTGTCTGTTCTTCTCCCCACTCTGTCTTTGGTGAATCCTTTCACCCTATGTATCTCTGGCTTGTACTCCAGTTCTTGTATGCATAAATAAAAAATCTTTTTTTAAAAAAAGATTAAATCCTGCCATTTTAACAACAGAAACAGAACTAGGAGATGATATACTTAGTGAAATAAGTCTGACAGAGAAAGACAAATATACAATCATATGTGATATATGAACAAAACAAAGAACCAAATCAAACAAAAGTAAACTCTTAAGTTACAAGAACACAGAATGGTTAAGGGGAAGAAAGGGAACTGGGTAGATCAGACAAAAGGGGTCAACCCTGTGGAGATGGATGAAAACTGGACAGCTAGTGTCAAACATAATACAGACGTTGATTGAAAAGATTATATATTAAAATTGATATCATGTTATGAAACCAATAATCAATCTAAAACCATTTTCTTGTGGGCACAAGGAACTACTTCAGTGCTATGTGTGTAGTACACCTTCCAGATGACCTTCCAAAGGTCTGACTCAGTGTCTCTGACTCCACAGACTCCTTCTCCAAGCTGGAGTTTCTTTTTGTCAGGGACTGTGAGGCCAAGGGATGGGGGAGCTCACCTGCATATGTAGCTCAGGAGGCTGTAGTTGTCTCGAGGAAGGCTGGAAAGCTGCTTCATCAACTCCTGCTGAGCCTAGGAAGAGAGGTTTTTGAATCTGATCAATCTGACATGTTAAGAGATCTTGAACATCAATAAGCGAACCTGCTCACTTGCCAGAGATGAGACCTAGAAAGCAAGTAGTGAATCAGTGCAGAGTAACTCTGGAAGTTATGCCTACTCCAACAGTTTTATGGGTTAAAATTTTTTTTTTTTGTAATGATAAGCAATTCCTAGGAAGCTGGAAAAATAGTACGGAGAGGCTCATTGTTTTTGGACAGTGTTTATATTTAATTGTATCTAATTTTGCCTTTCTCCCAGACTCAGAGCCACTCAATGGCAAGGACCAATAATTGCCTGTTTCCTGAACGCTCAAGATGTGATTCTCCAATAAAGAATCAGAACACAACCAAGTATCTCAAAAATCACTGTAGAAGTAGTAATAAAAGAAGAATGCTTCTAAGTAGTCCAAACAATCGAGACTTGCTGAACTCTTGTGCGACACGAGGGTAAGTGTGAGGTCACTGTGCAGGAGTCAGGCTCCATGATGTGCTTGAGTGTCAGGTAGGTGCAGACAAGGAAGGTATATGCAGGAAGAGCACAGGGAGGCTGGTTACAACTGCCTGCAGGGTCTCCAGGCACTGCTTGCAGCATCAGGCTTGTGATGGATAAACAAGTCACATGAGACATGCAGGCTCTCTTCCAACTGAACATCAACTCATGGCAACCATGGCAGCTCCTCCTGTCCGCCTGCAGGCAGCAACTTTGTGCAGACCATCTGTATTCAGACAGCCCCTGCTGCTGAGATTCCTTTCTCTTCAGTGCAGTCAAGCGAATTCTTGACAGAGGCAGCTGTACACTCACTTCACTGCCCCTGCTTCGTCCTCATCTGTGAGGGAGGCTGTGGTCCCTCTGCCATATGCAGATGTGCAATGCCACAGGTTAGAAACCCTCAGACATGCTGAGCTTGAGGAAGTTGAGAGAAGCAGGTCTAAGGTAAGAAAGGTCAAATGTGGGAGTCTGTTAAAACAGCATCCACACATGCCTTTTACTCCCCTCGAACTTGGGAATGAGAGATTTATTTCTTTAGCCAACTCTGAAACCTTTTTCCATAAAATATTATTACTTTCACAAAGGTGAGTTGACAACTTAGACTTTCCATACCCTTTTTGCCCTCATCCCCAAATTCATAGCCATGCAAAAAACATCCTACACAGGATGAAGCAAACTATTTTCTGGTGTGTGTTCGAAAATAACTACAATAGTTGCAGCATGTGAGCTGAAGCATTATAATTCTTTTTCTTCCTAGTGTTGAAATACCAAACTGCCTTTTTTCTTGTACTAGGATCTACTAAAATCATGAGACTACTGTCTCTCTCCCTCTCTCTGTTTATGTCTGTCTCTGTCTTTCTTTCACATGTCTACATATTTGTAAATATGTAGATACACACACACATGCACACATACACACACACTTTTCGGGAAAGCATACTATATTACAAAATCTGTGTAGAGCAGAGGAAAAATCCCCTTAATCAATAATTGAAAAATGTTACTCACATATATCTTATTCCTCCTTAGTCCTCAAAAACAAACAAAAAACCCTGAGGATAGCAGATGTTATGACACTTTCTAAGTTTGAGCTGCTTTGTACAACAGTATCTTGCCACATGTGACTATGTGGCTATTAAATTAAAATTAAATTGTGAATTTGTTTCCTCAGTGGTATCAGCCACATTCAAGTCCCCTGTAGTCAGGTGAGGCTAGTAGTCACCATATTGGGTAGTGCTGATCTATTTCATGAATGTAGAAAGTTCTATTGGTCTAAGTAAATAATCTGAGTTTCACAAAAGAAGCATTCTTTGTTTAATGGCAAGATAAACGCTAAATTCAGGTTTTCATTATAGGTTTTATGTGCACCACTTTGCCAGAGAGAGTTTTTATCACATAGTTCTTTAGTTCTAATAGCAACCTCCCAATAGTGGGGAGTGAGACCCCAGTGTAACTAGCACAAATGCATTCATGGGCCATTTGGTTTTGCAAATCTTGGTTAAAAGCCATGAAATTTTTATTGTTGTTAACTGGGTTTTATTGGTTTCTTCTGTTCATGAGTTAGTTTAATCCACATGACTCCAGCATGGTGACTGTTGACTGGACAGCCTTTTTGGGAACAATTTACAGAAGATCAAAAATTCTGCTCGTCCACTCCAGCAAGCATGATGCTGCAGATGGTGACTGTAGGCCTCCAGAGACCTGAAGCTATAGGAACAAAGCAAGAGCCCTGCCCTCCTGTCCCTGAAACTGCCTTCCTCATATACCCTTACCCGACATGCACAGACATCTCAGAGTTTGCACAGTCTGACCTCTCACCTGCCCTCTAGATTGTCAACCTGTCATTGTGTCCCAGCAGCTCTCAGGAAGGTCATTTGCTTGAAGTTTCTTCCTCTGTCCAGTACTTAAAAGTGACTTCATGGTCCAATTCTTTATTGGCTTGTTATATCACAAAAAGGCTGTCACCAGAAGTGGTTTTACCTGCCTCTTTTTTTGGAGAAAGCTCCATTTTGAAAATTATCTCACCAAAAGGAATGGGATCCCCAACCCACTGTTGCCAGAATGTTGTTCAGTAACTGTCATCTTCCTCTAAAGCAGAACAACTAACTCTAACGAGATACAAACCTTTGTCTCATCTGCATTCATAAGCTGCCCACACAGCAGAAATCCCTCATACTGGCTCCAAGGAACCACTGGTTCTGGCAGATCTCGGAGGTAGAGCTTGAACAGGGAGGCCACTGTGTGGACATCTGTGTCTCTAAAAAAGAAAAAAAAAAGTCAAGCTTATCATTTCCTTTTTGGGAATAATAACCTCTATCTCTTTTTATTTTACCTCTTCTACCCAGCTGCCTCAGAGTTCAAGGTCTACTTCTTCCCTAAACCAGCTCTAACTATCTTCATCTCCATTGCTTTCTTCTTCCAAGAAGAAAGCACAAGAAAAGAACTTCTCACAAGTTCGCATTCTTTACTGAATATCTAGTTTTTCATGTAATGATTCCTTTATAACATAGTCCACTGGTCTTTTTAATCCCTTAAAACAGACATCTTTTTAAATCCATTTAGAATAATTCTGGGATTCATCACGTATTTGCAATCATTCATTTGACCAATAACCATTGAGAGAACCTATAAGGTGCAAAATATTATGTCAGGCACTGGGATTTCAATAGCAAACCCAAAGGCCACACAGGACCCCTGGCCTCATGAGTCACAAAGCTAGTTTGAATCCTCATTGGACACTCATGTCACCAAGTCATTACAGTATTGTACAATTAGCACATGACAAGAAAAGTCCAGGATCCAGGCCTGTATAAAAATGTAGGAAAGAAACACCCACCCATAAGTGGGAGCCAGAGGAGAATCTTTGGTCAACATGTGAGGAATAACTAAGAGCTACAGCATGGGACACACAGCATGTGTATCAACCTGGAGCCTGGAGAGAGGACACGTCTAAGAACAGAGACAACATCTGTGTGATAGTCTCATTAAGTGAAAGGATCTTGGACTCTTTAGTTCATCTCTTCCACTTTATAGCAGGAGTTAACAGTCCAAGGGCAGGACCCAAATCTGGCTCATCAGCTATATTTGTATAACCTGCAAGCTGAGAATGGATTTTGTATTTTTAAGTGAATGGGGGAAAAGCTGAAAAGGAGAAGAAAACGGTATCATGTGAAAATGATATTTTACAGGAATACAGCCATACTGGTTCACTCTCATCTTATCTTGTCTGCTTTTAGCCATTAGAGGAACATTGACTATTTGTGGCAGATACCAAATAGCTCGTCAAACCTGAACATTTCACCTATGGCTCTTTAAAAGAAAAGGCAGCTAACACCCAGTTTATAGAGGTACTGCAGTTACTCCTCAACTCTAGAAGACAAAGCAATTATGAATCTACCATATACTTGAAGTTCTGTAGTGAAGAAATATCCATTTCATTTTGAGAAAAACTGGTATTCTTGGTAGATAGTCCTGGCAGTATTTTGAAAAGATGTGGTGTGGTAAGATGTTTGGACAATCTGAGCATTTCCACAGTTTCAGTTATAGGGAAGATCGAATAGGCTGGGTAGAAATATATCCGGGAGGAGGGATGGGGAGAGTGGATTTGGCAGGAGGAGAAGGAAGGCGTCTGGGAAGCAAGAATAAGGATTTCACTGGAAAGCAATGCCCTGGTGTTTGGAGTGAATTATTTTTGTTTTTGACAGTCAGTGGTTGGAACTGTCTTCTGCAAAGCTCCCCTTCCTCTTTCCCCTTTCATTGCCTGTGAACTCTATCTCAAAAGGGGAACAGGAACTAGCACAGGGCTCCACTGTTGCCTTCAGGAAACTGGGGGTGGAAGCCATTTTCTTAACGTGGGGATTCTTCCTTCCTGCCTAAATATATTCCTGGGCAAGGCCCTCTTAACAAATCACATAAGAAATTTCTAAGACAATGGCAGAAAGACATCTAGCTGACACTCTTTGGGAGCAGCATTTTCTCCAGAATCCTAAAGTGGTTTTCCTTGTGTCCGTACATTGCAGTCAGCCTGACAGTGTTAACTCAGCATCCAGGTCTTGGGTTGAGTTCCACACCTGGCCCACCAGCTATCAACTAAGACCACCCAGGCCCTGCCCCACCCCTTCCTCCTGGGACTGACTTATGTGACACACCCATACAGCTGTTTCACCAGAAATACAGGACTCAGCAGTGTATTCACTTTGGGGCTGGTAATATTCAGCCCAGTGTTTTTAATTAGTCCTGAGGTTTTTAAGTTCATATTTACATTTAATAAGAACCAGATATACGTGCATTAGAACCTAACAAGAACTCCTTTGTGTGTGTGTGGTTTTTTTGTTTTGTTTTGTTTTGTTTTCACTCTAGTGAGGAAATTTGGGAGATTTCACAGTTAAATAAAACATAGAGAAGGTCTGGGTAAATACCTCCAAGTTTTCTATGGACCCCAAAGTTGACTCTTGGAGAATCCTGAAGAACTCCAGGTGACTCTTAATGCTGAAGCTCTACTTAGAACTTCATGGGTAAACTCTACTCCTCAGGGGTTGGGGATATCAGGACAAGATATGTAACTTTCCTCCTTTTGGCCCCCAAAATTTTACAGGAGTAAAATATTTTGACCACCCCAGACTCAGGCAGGTTCTAGCACAACCCACAATCACCTCTATTCCTCCTGGCTGACTATTCACATTGCTTTGGCAACACCCTGTCTATCTTTTGATCAACTCAAACCCAATTAAAAACATAAGAAGAAAACTGAATATAAAGGCAGTGAGATTAATTGAACAGGTGCCTGGTAATGATCTGCAATTTATGTGCTGAAAGATCCTTAAATTTGATGCCTATAACTTGGGATAGTTCAGTAACAACTCCACTGCTTTCTTGTTAAAATTAAGCACCGGTGGGAATTAACTTATTGTATGCCAAGGGCAACAAAGACTGACATAGGGTAGTCTGACCTATGACTATAGCTGTGAGAATAGAGAGAAGCAGATGGGTTCAGAGATTATTGTGTGGGGAACAGGCTATGTTGGTGACTGGAGTAAGAACTGAGGGTGCCATGAGACTGTCACATAGCATGGCATTCAGCTAGCTGAGGACTGGCCCTGCCTCACAGTCCCAGCAAGTTCTTGGGGGAATGTCAACCTTTGGAAACTGGATAGGCCCCTTTTACTAAATCTTGGTCTGTGGGGGAAGAACAATGGCTCTTTTTTGCCAGCAAGACAAGCACACACAGGCAGCTGGGGTGAATGTTGCACAACAGGCCTTGTACAAGCCAGGGTGGGAGTTGGGCTGGCTGCTCATGGCAAAGAAGCAAACCTCGGCTAGAAGCCTAGGAGGTGGGGCAGGAAGGGGGTGGTGGGAAGAAAAGGCACCTTATATACCCCAAACAGGACTGGGCAACCTCCATAGAGGAGTCTTGGAACAATGCCAGGCTGCCAAGGTGTCAGTCCATGCTCTCTCCAAAGGCTCAGAACACAGCCAGAGTTGCACAGCACTTTGGTCTTCCACACTAGCAAGAAGACCTGGATTCTGGTCATTTCTGGTAAGCTGAGGAGGCCCACCGAATCCCTGGATATAAACACAGTATATGTCTACCACACTAAGCCTATGCAGAAAACTCAGTGGAGCTCCCAGTATTGCACCTGACCAAGGACTGGGCCTTGTGCTTGGCGCCATCTTCCTCCCACACTGCACCTCCCCTTTACCAACATCCTAAAGTTCTCTTGATTGCCCATTGAGACTCTATTTCTTGTTCATATCACCTCTACCGAAAGGGTTGGCATATTGTTCTGTGCTCCAGGTTCCCAGGTTCTGAATTATGAACAAAAGGGTCTTTCTGTTGCAACCCAGGCCTCTTTGAGGTATGAGTGCAAATTCCAGAGCTGAGCAGCCATAAGTGGTCCCCTTACCCAAGTGAGGCAGAGGAGAGGGTGGGGGTTACCTGTCAAAGGATGGCCTCTCCCCAGCATCAAAGGCATCTCTCAGCTGCTTCACCAGGGTGTCCTGCCCAGGTAGTCGGAAGATGCCCTCTTCATTCAGGCCATGCACGAGGATGAACTCTGCACACTTCTCCACCAAGATGGGCACGAGATGGGGGCCAAATTTTTGCTCGTACGCCATGGTCTCATCCAAGCGCTGGCCAAAGACCGCTGGAAAGAGAACAAACAGGACCTGGCATCATTCTCACTGGCCTTGTTTCGTCTATTTCTGGGTTTTCTTCAGTTTCAGCACTATGATACTAAACAAACAAAGGGAACAAATCATCTATAATTTCTGGTTTATAAATTGGGGGCAGTTTCTGTGGGTCTATTTTTTACTGACTCACATTTCCACATTTTAAAGATTTATTTTATTTATGCATTCAGGACTGGGGTACAGGCTAGAGGTGCAGGGGAAGTGAGAGGATTCGCCAGAGACAGAGTGGGGAGCAGAACAGGCCGACTGTGGAAGTACAGTGCTGAGGGGAGCAGTGGGCAGGTCAGGAGAGGCCTGCCACACCATGTGGTCACCTCCGGGGTGGGGGATCAAACACATGCTGAAGTGGCTTTAGCTTCTTAGTACTGTGTTTATTTAACCTGCTGGCCACCAGTGAGGGCCCTTGACCCACAATTTTACGTGTTTTATATATAAAATAACAACTCACTTTTTCCGAGTACTTACACTCTAGGATGTATGCTAAGCATGTTATACACCGTTTCTCATTTAATCTTGACACAACCACAGGAACAGGTCCTGTTGTCATACCCACCTTAGAGGTGCTAATGAACTTGCCAAGGTCAGGTGGGTACACTCAGAAAGCAAACCCAGGCAGTGAACTCAAGAGAATGTGCTTGAAACCATAGCAGCAAGCAGGCCACGCACATTGAGTTCTGCTTGTGTCATGTACATGAAAACACAACAGCCTAAACCCTGGATGCGTCATTCTGTATCAAGCCATTGTGGAATTTTGAATAATTTAGTTTGTTTACTATGTTCTATTATGGTTAACCTTGCCACACCCAACGTGTCCATTCACTTAGCAGCATTCCTGGAATGTATGAAGTGCAATGTAGAATTTCTAATTAATTGCTTAATTAATTAATGAACATTTGGATGGATGAAACAGGCTTTTCATTCTTTTGAACTACTTCCTTAGGGAAAATTCCCGCATGCAGAATTACTAGGTCAAGTGGTTTGAACAACTTTATGATTCTATGGTATGCAAATTGCTTTCCAAAAATACTTTCCCAAATTAGACTGCCTCCAGTAAAGCATGTGTAGACCAGCTCCATCCCAGTCCTTGCAGCATTTGGTTTTATAAACTCTCGTTCTCCAGTGGTATAATAAGGCTAGTTTACAAATCAGGACAATTGTTGGTTCCCAATTTTCCCACCAGGGTCCTAGGTCTTTAGTGTCCTGGGAGTTCAGGAGGCAGGTTATGGCTTCAACTCTGTCCTGCCTGATTATCCCTCGGCTACAATGACCAGCCAATCCCTAGAACAATAGTTTTCAAAATCCTTTGGTTTCCTCATGAGTCAGCTGCATGCTTTCTCTCTTGCTGGTACCCTATATCCAGTCTCTAATTAATATGAATTCCACATGAAAAGAAAGAGCTGTAGTGAGCTCTTGAGTCCACAGTGTCCGACCCACTTCCCACCACCTGGCCAGACTCCTCTCTCACCTACAACTTCTGTGGTCTCTTCTAACATTCACAAACCTGCTACTTACCTTCCAAGCCAGTGATCTACCTGAACACCTCCCCCACAACTCCCAACCCCCACCCCCTGTTTTTGATAGTTATCTACTTTCCTAAATGTCATAGCAGCACTTTTCAAATTATCACTTAAGCTCCTCCCTCATTTCACCAGGTGCTAAAAAGGGAGGGCAAGGAATTAAGGATGCTGGTGAGTGTATGTTTCCCTGTGCCCAGCTGGCCTGCTGCACTGCTGTTTTCCCTGTTGCATTCCACTGAGCCTTTGCTTAGTTAAATATTTCTGTGACTGAAAGCTGAAAATGGGGGCAAGTACTTCTAAGGTTGGTATTCAGCTTGGTCTGCATCTTCCTTTCCTGCCTGACTTCCTGCAGTGCCCCTACAGGGACCTCAACCTGACGTGCCCAAGCCCTTGGTGCCCTCCAGTCGTGGTGGCCTTGGCCATGAGTCTCTTCCTGTCCACTGGAATCTACCTGTCTTCCTTGGCCCCACGCAACTATAATCACTTCTGCCAAGACTCCCTCCCTTTTCTGAGCAAGCGCTGCTCTTGAATATCCCAACCCCTTTCCACGCTGTGTTATAATTACCTATATGTACCTGTGGCCTCTGCATGCCTGTGGGCTCCTGATGCCAGGAAGATGAGGAGAGCTCCCTTTCTACCCTAGAGTTTAGCATAGTGCTGACTTGAGGAAGGGAATCCCCAAATTTGGGGGATTACTTTTTGAAAAAAATGTATTTTGTGCATAAAAGAGCTGGGGTGTAGGCCAGAGGTGCAGGGGTAAGAGGATTCACTAGAGACAGAGTGGGGGCTGAGCAGAACAGGTGGATCAACTTAAAAACATTGCCAAGGGCAACAGCAGACAAGACAGGAGAGATCTGCTGTGCCATACAGATAAGCTCCCTGGCCAAGGATTGAGCTCATGCCACACTGGTAATAATGCTGAGGCAACCCCCAGGCCACTAGGGAGGCTCCAATTTGGGGAATTGCTTAATGCATCATTTCATCTTTAAGCAAATGTTTTCCATGATTAATGATCGTATTGGCATTTGGTGCAAACACTAGTAGGGATCTCCTGAGAAGGTAAATTCAGCACTGTGTTAATGTTAATGAAAGCGCCCTTGTCTATGTCAGCATAGCAAGAGGTCAAATGGAATGGGCCACACAGACAAAGAATGTAAAATATGCTTACATTCTTGCATTTGATTCACTCATACCGAGTTAGGAAAACAAAAGGACTTCATGGAAAATAATGAGAAACAATTAAAGAATGTCAGTCACTATGTAGAATTCAATTCCTATGTATCTATGAAAAGAATTGGATAGGTATTTTCAATAAATGGAAGGGAATGATTGAAATGATCAGTCTCAAAAAGTAGGACACATAGCATCTGTAAAATGCCTTTTAAAGAGTACAGAAAGGGGTACATTAAAGGGAGAGGCAGATCTATTGTAGAGCAGTAGAAATTTGGATTCAAGGGCCTACTGAACCATCATATGGAAAGATATCCCAAAACAATGTAAGAATGAGCACGGAAATGTCAGAGGTGCCAAATGTGAACCCCACTCCTGAGGTCCCCAGGCAGATTTCCACTTTGCAGGTTAATCACATCCCATCTCACAGCCCTGTGTGTCTTTCCTCACTGGAATGTGCTGGCTTCTCCTGGTTGCATTCTCTATTCCTCCCATGTCTCGTAGTCATTTCAATGTCATGCTAACTAGCACATTTCATTTCCTAACACTCCTTTTCCCACCAACACCTCCATTCTGCCTTTTTCATTCCCCCTCTGCACTCCTCCATCAGGCTGCTGAGAGCTATATGGCACTACAGAAGAATGATACCATGGAAACTTATTTTCAATCTGTGCCACCTTGGTTTCAAATTTGTACCACTCTCCACCCATCTCCTCTTCTCTGTCTCAGCAGGTGACCTGTCTCCTCTTTTCCTTATCTCCTGGCATAGTGGATGTCTTTCGTCAGTGAATTCCCTCATCTTCAGTCCTTGCCTTCCTCCCTTACTTGTCCTCTTTTGGAGAAAGATGAGAACACTGCTCTGATGCTTTCTGGAACTGTGGGTTCCATCATTTTCTACCTCTTGAGGGATCTCACTTCTTCTCTTCTGTATCTTAATTTCTTAATTTTTAATTTTTTCTTTCAGTTGAAAGAACCCACATGAGTAAGACTTTGCCAATTAAGAGAATAATCTCCCATTCTACTTGTTCCATGCAGACAACCAATATTTTCCTTTCTTCACTTCACCAATATATTCTTAGGAAAACATACCTACTTCTGGAGACTCTCTTCTTCACTTGTCATTATCACTCAGCTGCTCTTCTTCACTTGCATTCTCACTCAGCTGCTCAACACACCCCTATCTGATTTAATTCATAGCATATTCCCAATTTGAATCTGCTCACTCTGGTACCTAGTGCCTTTCTAATGGAGAAATCTGATCTATATTCAATAGCATGCAACTTGTTGTCTCTTAGGCTCAGATGGTGTTGATTCTTCTTTCTCAGCATTTTATCCCTACATAGCTGCCAGACCATCACCTTCATTCTAATCCCATGTCCTTGCTGGCTCCCCTGAGGTCACCTTTACTGGTCCCTTCCTCCATGTGCTCCTACCAAGAATGCCAACTCAGACTACTTCTCACTCTAGACAGTCTCTGTGGGAAGTTCATAAGAGTCCAAACATCTGGACAGCACCTTCAAAGTGATAACTTATAAACCTGCATAGCTGGTTCCAACACCTCTATTTCCACCATCTCTATATCCATTATTCACTCCCTGTTTCTCTTCTACCCCCATAAATCCAACATCTAAAGAGAATTCTCCCAGTTTCTTCTCCAATCTCACTCTCATCCCACCTTCAACACTTCCAAATTAGTGGTTCCCCTGTAGTAACTCCGCAAAGACAATACTATTCAGTGAGTTAATCAAACAGTTAAGCCAGCCTCTTTTCTAGGCACTAAGGATCCTATAGCTTTAACCCAGGTACCTGAACTTAACTAACCCAATTAGTAAAAGTGTGTGTTAAAAATATCTGCAACAGCCAACAAGCATATGAAAAATGTTCAACATCACTTGTAATAAGGGAGATGCAAATTGAAACCATAGTGAGATACCACCTCACACCAGTGAGAATGGCACATGTTAAAACAACTAGCAATAACAAATGTTGGTGAGGATGTGGAGAGAAAGGAACTCTTCTGTACTGCTGGTGGGAATGCAAACTAATACAACCACTATGGAAAACTGGAGGTTTCTCAAACTGCTAAAAATGGAGCTTCCATAGGACCCAGCAATCCCACTCCTAGGTATCTACCCAAAAGACACAACAACACTGATTCAAAAAGACACCTGCATCCCCATGTTTATTGCTGTATTCTTTATAATAGGAAAAACATGGAATCAACCCAAATGCCCAAAAGTAGATGACTGGATTAAAAAGATGTGGTA